TGTTGTTGGGACACTGTCACTAATGGGCTCTGCTATGTCACTCTCTCAGGGGTGCTTATTTGTCCCACTGGTCACTTTCTTCCCAGCTCTTCCCCTTTGCCCTGACCTCTAAAACCAGAAGGTGCAGGGCTTTGCTTTTCAGGCCCCCTCACCCCGTCAGTCTCCTTCCAAGCCATGATTTTAACAGCCTCTCTATGGTGCTGACATCTCAGTTTCTCTCCCTCCCTAGACACCCCCAGATTCCAGCCCCAGATGTCCCACTGACACTTACTAGAGCCACCTGGATGTCTGAGAACATCAGACCTCACATACCAACACCAGGCTCTTGATTTCTGCTCCAGGAACCTGCTCCTCTGACAGGCTCCTCAGTGTAAGTAAGTGGCCACTTGGCCTTTCTGGTTCTTCGGTGATCAAAACTTGGAGACCTTTCCTTCTGCCTCAGCATATCTCATAGACCCTGCCTTGCAAGCACATCCCCCATCTGAGCCCTCCACACCTTTTCCACTCACAGCCCTGGGAGCCTCCCTGCTACCAACTGCTGTCCTTTCTTGCTCAAAAGATTCAACAACTTCCTAGTTCAATGGCTTTTAATTCTTTGTCTTTTTTTTTTTGGTATATATATATTTTTATTGGCATTCAATTTGCCAAGACACAGTATAACAATTCTTTTTCTTACTCTTGTATTGACTAGGTCTCCTTTGCCAACAGCCAGAGTGAGCCTTTTAAAATTAAGGTGTATCGGGACACCTGGGTGGCTGGAGGTTGAGCATCTGCCTTGGGGCCCAGGTCCTGATACCGGGGTCCTGGGATCAAGTCCTGGATCAGGATCCCTGCAGGAAGACTGTTTCTCCCTCTGCCCCTCTCTATGTTGTCTCTCATGAATAAATAAATAAATATATTTTTAAAAAACTGAGGCACATCATGTTACTCCTCTCTCTTGTGAATTCTGTACTGGGGTGAATAGCATCCTCTGCAAATTCGTGTCCTTCCCAAAACCTCAGAATATGAGCTTTTTTGGAAACAGGATCATTGTGGGTGTAGTTAAGACAAAGTGAGGCTGGGTAGGGTGGGCCCCCACTCAATATGCCTGGTGTCTTTCTCAGAAGAGGAGAAAAGACACACAGACAGACAGACACAGTGCTGCTGTCACAAGATGTGAAAGCCCAGGCTGGAGGCCCTCACCAGCCAGGGTGAGGATGAGGGGAGAACCTCGAAGGCCTTTGGCCCTGGCTCTGGAGTAGGTTCTAGTGTCCTGTAGAAGGCAGCAGAGTGACCCAGCCATCCCCGAGCATCCCCCCCACCCCCTCAGGGCCTCCTAGATCCCCTCCCCCACGTGTGCACAGGATCCCATTTTCATTATACGCCCCACCTCTGTCAAGGGTCCCGGTGAGTAAACTGCCATAAAACACCCCCCACCCCGGACGTCTATCAGCCGTTGGCTGTGCCTATGTTCCTCATTCAGGGACACGCATGTATATCCCTTTACATGTTAGGACCTAGAAACTGATTCTCTTTGAAAACCCTGACAAATCTTCTTTCATCCAAGAATGATGATTATATAATCTGTGTTTTTTTTTTTTTTTTTTTGCCTTGGCTGCCAGTAGACTTGGGCTCATTTTAGCAAATTGAGGGGACTCTCCAGTAGCCATAAGCCTAAATTTCTGACACATTACTCTTTATTAGGTGGTTTTAACATGTTATTTCTACAGTTAGCATTTTTCTTTCAGCTATCTCTCCAATTTTCAGGAAGTTTTTTTTTATAATATATTGTAACACACATCCATACATTATAGATTTTTTAAGCCTTGCCCCTATTAATTACTCTGAACAAGTAACAGAAGTATGTGTTTGTTGCTGAGCCCTGGAGTTGGGTCAAGAGAGTTAGGATTGTTGGATCAAACCCAATCAAGGTTTGTAATAACTCCATGAAGGCCAGAGATGCTTGGGAAGTGCTGTCTTTTTAACCTTCATCCAAGGGATGGACACCGCATCGCACACAGCACTTCATGGTGTTTCACAACAACACTTTGTCTTAATGATTCCTTATGAAATGGGATGATTCTCATTGTATAGAAGGAATGCTAACAGCAAGATTAAATCATTAACTTTCTGCTACAATTCCGGCTTCGCAATAGCACAGGTGAGGCCAGAAGTACTGGTGTGACCATGGGCACTGTCTGTCATCCTTCACCCACTGACCAGGCAGAGGAGACCAGAGCTATGGGGGATTCTCTGTCCAAGCCCTGCACCAGGGTTCTGGGAACATTCACAAACTCTTCCCATCAAGAAATTCAAAGCATGAAGGGAAAAGAGAAGACCTGCATGCCATATACGATCTTCCAGGGAGAGCCAGGACACCCAGGACACCCAGCCGAGCAGCTGGTTGGGCACATGGGCAAGTGCTGCCCATCGAGAACCTCCACTAGCACCAGCCAAATGCTCCCCAAGTGACCGCAGCCCGTGTGTGCATCAGGGTTGACTTACAGGCTGCCTGTCACTCAAGGGGCCTTGGGCTCCTGGCAGCAGAGTTGTCTGGCACACTTTCCAGTGAGCATCAATCATAGCAAATGGGATCATGTGCTCAGGCATGTGACCCCAACTCTGGTGACCCCCTTAGCCTTGAGCGAAATTTTTCAAGGCAGCAATATCCTTGTTGCGGGGACACTGGAAGATACTGCACTGTTTCCCTGTCCCGCAGTATTGAGGCGAGGGTGGTCTTTGGGTCTAAAGTCCAAGATCAGGCCCTCTGCTCACATTCTCATCTCTGAGTGTCTAAACACATCAGGCAGGCTCCTCAGGGAGGGAGGGTCGAGCATCCCCAGCACCGGTACTGAGAGTCCAACCTTTGCCCTTTATGTCAGGTCAGCCCATCCCCCTCCCTTAGACACTCAACAGCATGCTGCCCTTGGGTCAGGAAATAGTCAATGTCACCAGTTACCAAGGACACCTCCTCAGCCTTCCAAAAAAAAAATTTATAAACAAAGCAAAATAAGATAAAATAACATAAAATATCAGGATTACTTGCATCCCCCTGTGTCTGGGCTCTGATGCTGGATGCTGGCTTGGACAGGTGTCCCTAGAGGTTTCTGTGAGGCTTTGCTTATACTTCCTGGCTCTGCTCTCAGCCTGAGGGTCCTTTCCCAGATCTTTGAACTGGGCACACTCCTCAGTGTCATCTGTGTCTCAGCAGATGCCTGGTGGGGTTAGGAAAATCTGGCCCATTATCTCCAGGATACTCTTCAAGGACTTCTCTGGAAGACATGAGGGATTCTTAAGGAAGTGAGATTGCCTCACTTTCAAAGGCTCTGAGCTGAGAGAGTAACAAAATCAGTTCCAAATCAGCCTATCTTAACCTGATGTGCATCCAGAAGACACACATTGTTTATGTACAAAATCCTAAACCTCGAGTTGGAGGGACCAGGCTTGTCATCTACCCCTCACCGAGGGCCTTCTATGCAAATACCTATTGAATTTTGACTTTTTGTGAAATAATCCATACTCCTTGTTTGGAGATGGTCAGGTACCTTACAGGCAAATGCAATGCAAGGCAGCCTGCAGTAAGTGGCAGAAAAGGGGAAAACCACAACACGAGATTCAGAGAACATAAAAACTCACTTTTGTCAAAATCACTGAAGGCCTCAAGTAGTTATGGAATTTTGTTTGATCCTAGGAGAGCAGAAATGATTCACATGGAGACACAAGGCGCAGTTCCTCAGTTCAGAGCAGAGGAGAGATTAGGAAGATGCGAAGTAGGTGATGGGTACACAGAGACAGTGGAAGAGTGGGTGAACCAGTTGGTGGGGAACCACAGGGCCTGCCCCTGGACCAACAGACCGGGGAGAGAAGGCCGCTGAGGGCCAGCTGGGCCTGGGAGACAGGGAGGAGAAGCTGGGGACTTGAGAGGAGATCTAGTTGAGGGTGAGTGACATTGGAGAGGACACGTACACATTAATTCACAGCACCTGAAAGTTTTATTCATTTGGCGTATCTCCTCAGTAGGCTGAAAACTGAGGGCCGTGTCTGAGTCCCCACCACATCACCAGCATAATGGGTTCAACTAGTATTGAATGAGGGAAGGGGTGAGGGGGCCAGGGTCTGGTTGGAATTTCATAGACCAAGGAATGGGTGAAGAATTCTTTGAATTATTGACAGACTTTCTTCACCATGAATGGAACATTCACTAAGTACCTGCTGGTATTGTATCCCGACACTGCAAAGGTCAAGGTTCAATTGAGGGAGATGCTCGTACAAAAAATAAGTACAACAGAATGTAAGTTGCATCGGCTTGTGAGGACAGCCCACATAAGCTGAGTACATTGGTGTGGGGGGCAGGAAGGTTGTCAAGGTGGAGGCAGCCTGTGAGCAAAGGTCTGGAGCAAAGTGCCCTGGAGAGGAGCCCAGCATCCTCCTGTGGACCTGGGACTGGACAAAGCTCACCTCGTTGATGGGAGCAGGTCACGAAAGGTTTTAAAGAGAAGTTTGACCTGATAGAACTTTGCTGAGAGGCCTGGAGGAGTGTCAGGCTGGGGTGCAGGCTGGAGTCAGAGGGGGGCTGTCCATAGGTAAGTAGGAGGTGCAGAAATGTGCAGAAGGGCCACGTTCATAGGACTTAAAAGGAGAAGCTTTGGTGAAGACCAAGGACTGAGGATGAAAGGTGGGCACCATGCGGTGAAGAGGGAAAGGGATACACAGCCCGGGGACACCAGAGAGGTGCCAGAGGGTGCTGAGCTCCGGGGAAAGGAAGATGTTTCCGAAGGAGGCAGAGGCCAGCGTTAGCAGCAGGTTAAAGACGAGGAGGGTGGGAATAGACTATTGGTAGATGTAGATTCTGATCAGAAGGTGTGCATGTAACAGGTAACAAATGCGCCCTTGGTCCAGGCTTATCATCTCGTCAGCCCTGCAGATTGTAGTCTACAGCATGCTGGCTCCCTTATCTGATGACTGTGGTGTGTGTGAGTGAGGGGAGTATTTGGGATAAAAGTATCTGAATGGGAGAAATGTTGATAATATAGTTGCATTTATTTAGAAACTCGTAGTTTATAAATTTCAAGGGACATAAACTCTGGCCTGGCTTTGTCGCTCAATGACTCTGGGAGGGAGCCAGCTGACTTGCCTGGATGTCAGTTTACCCAATTATAAAATTGTACTGTCAGACTTGTTATTTTTACGTCCTTCTGATTCTTACAAACAACAAGCACGATGAATACAACATGAACAGGTGGAAGTTGTTGGTTCTACCTAAGCCAGTTCCCATTGGCTGATTATGCACTCCACTTTCTGCCTTTGTGCCGGAGATTATGGATTCCTTCCTGCACACTCACGATCTCCACTGGTGACGTGGTGAACTGAAAACGTGCTAGAATAGAAAAAAATTTGGTAGGCAACTCTGCTGTGTTTTCGGGATGGCTAAATATTGCTGACACCATTGTGAGGAAGCAGCTATAAACTCTGAGGCACTTCAGGTAGAGCTGTCTTGCCGACACAGAGTTCCTGTGCTGCAGCGTGTGTCACCGTCACATGACTGTCTCTGTTTCTGCCTCCTCTGTTGGCTTTGTCTGTTCTGCAACAACTGGCCTGCCCTGGTTCTTGGCCTCCAGGTACTCAACAATCCCGTACGCCAGCATGGTCAGACTCAGGACGCCCAGGAGGATGTAGAGTTTGATGTAGACGCACAAAAATGTGCTGTATCCAAACGCAATGACGAACCCAAGCGCTTCCCACAGGCGGTAATTCGCAAAGGCAGCCTCCTTGTTCTTCTCGAACAGGACACCATAAAGAACTGCAGAGGAGACACGGCATGAACATGTTGCTACAAAACCTCAAAGGATTTTTTTTCAATTATTGATGAAAACAATGCAGCTTTCCCGCTCCCCAATTTTCTTGACAAAATCAGAAACATGTCCTTCTTAAAAAAGCAGAATTATTTCATGTTTATGGAAGTCTGGAGACATTCTTTAGCAGCAAAGAACCATCATACATAAAAGAAACAGAGTTCAAGCAATGTTAGCACTGGCGAGAGCTCAGGCCTGCCGATCACTTGGTGCATGAGTGTGTGGAAAAGTAAAGTAGAGCTTAGAGGATCGACCTGTGTCAGATGAGGCATGGCTCCTCACTGGACACCAAAAGCAAAGACAAACACAAGCAATCCTAACCGCCGGACCTCAGAATGTGACTATGTTTGGAGACGGGGCCTTTAAAGAGGTGATTAAGGTAAATGAGGTCATTAGAGAGGGCTCTCATCCCAAGACTGGTGTCCTTATAGGAAGAGGGGATCACAGCACAGATATGCATAGAAGGATGACCATGTGGGGACACAGGGAGAAGACAGCTGTCTACACACTCAGACGCGAGGCCTCAGCAGAGGCCAGCCTGTCCACATCTTGGACCTCCCGCCTCCAGAGCTCCGAGGAACAAGAATGTCTGCTGTGTCAGTCGCCCATCTAGTTGTACTCTGTTGACAGCCCTAGCAGGCTAGTTCAGTCTGATAAATGCTTCTAGAGGAAAGTAAATGGTTTCTGTTCCAGTTTGTAAGATGGTAAAATGTTTGATATAACTGCAAGCTCCCCGTCTGCTGGCTTGAGTGAGGTGACCCATGTGTAGGGGAGCTAACAGCCAGGAAGCTGAAAGCATTCAGCAGAGAAGTGTTGATTCCCAGGACCGTGCTGAGCATCCCAGCTGGTGCCCCGTGCTGGCCCATCCTGCTCTCTTCTCCTGAGCTGCCCCAGCCACCATACCTTCCCTTCCAGCCAACGGACTTGCCTCTTCACCAAGAACACCTCTCCTTGTGTGCTCCATCCACCATAGCCCAGAAAGGGCCCTGCACAGAGGCTTCACTCTGCTTCCGTCCCCTTGGGGGACTTCACTCCATCATGGAGCCCCTCTCCAGAGCTGAACCTTCAGCCTGACTCTCTTACCTCCTCTTCAGCCTAGAAACAAAGCCAGCTCTTTCCCACATGTCACACAAGCTGGATTCAGGTCCTCTTCATCCCTCTACCAACACTCAGTGGCTGTCTACACCTACTACATGGCAGTCACAGCACTGAGCTCTGCAGACATGAACAAGGCACGATGTCTGCTCTCAAGAAGCCCATGGCCCATTCACTGGACTTGGGCTCCGAACATTTGGATTCCCTCTCAGTGTGACCCATATGTCCCATCTGGACTGTTCACTGCCTTGTCTCTCAACAGCTCCAGACTGACCCATTTCCTCCTTTCTTATCTTACTCTGCTCCATGTTACTCCCGCATTTCTGCTAGGACAATCTTTGTAAAATGTAAATATGTCACGTCACTCCCACACGGAGAAGTCTTCAGTGATCTGGCCTGGCTATGGGGTAGAAGAACAAGCATCTCATCATGAGGGCAGGTGCCTCTGTGACCTGACCTTGTCACTCCAGCTCATAGCCTGTCATTGTTGAGCATACCCCTCAATATGGCCCCATTGACCCACTTCTGTGCTTTGTGCCTTCACATGTGGCAGGCCCTGTGTGAAGTGCCCTTGCCAGGCTTCTCCAGTGACCCTCCCCTCCAGCCAGTGATTCTTCAATTAGTTAACATACAGTGTTATATTAATTTCAGGTATACAATATAGTGATTCAACACTTCCATACAACATCCTATGATCATCAAAAGTGATGATTTAATTTCTCCGTGATGACATCCCACGAAGCGTCCCATTCTTATCAAGAATAATTCCAGTGCTCTCAAAGTGTCAGCAAAAGAAACTATTGAATGACCACATGGACCAGTGGATGGACAATGACTTCATGAATGTAGCACCAATAGGTAAAACCCCAAGCCAATGTCCTGTGGAGCTACCATGAAGAGAGCTGCTTATTCTTTCCTTCTAATTATATTACCCAAAGCCCACCCTGGGAGAGAGTCGAGGTAACACAGGATGTGCAATCAGAGCAGAACGAAGCAGGCAAAGGTGCCAGGTTTGCCCGTGAATGAGACAATGAGTAAACCAAGATATCACTCCTGTAGCACCGGGAAAGATGGACAGCGAGCCCTCTGTCTGCCCCCAGCCTCAGGGGGACCAGCCATCATCTGAGCCATGACCAGAGCTTGTTATTCCTGGGGGAGGCTGAAGTCTGAAAAGATGTAGGGGTTTTGCTAGGAATGCCCTTCCTGCAGGATGGGCAGCTGTGGGAGGGAGAGCCCACATGGAACTTTCTCACACATTCCTTTACCAGCTTGCATCCTGTTTTTGCCCTTTACCCCTTGCCTCCTCCCTGAATTTCATAGGGGAGGGATGTAGGGTAGAAGAGTCTCTCCAGCACTGGGGGGAAGGTTTGAGGCCAACAGCAAGATCTCTTGCAACCCTGCTTAGAAATTTCAACACTGGGCAGCCTGGGTGGCTCAGCGGTTTAGCACTGCCTTCAGCCCAGGGCGTGATCCTGGGGACCCGGGATCGAGTCCCGCGTCAGGCTCCCTGCGTGGAACCTGCTTCTCCCTCTGCCTGTGTCTCTGCTCTCTCTCTCTCCCCTCCTCTCTGTGTATTCTAATGAAAAAATAAAATCTTAAAAAGAAAAAAAAATTTCAACACTCAGAAGGTTCTTGGCACTTGGTTACTCAGCTGTCTGCCTACCATGGGAGGACCTCAGGAGGGTGAGGCCATCAGAAATATGTAATATCAGATATACATCATAAACCACATTCGTGTGCTTGGGAAAATGAGAGACCATTTGGAAGGCTCAGAAGAAAGTGTCCATGTGATCTGAGTCTGTGAAGTGCCCACCTTAATAAAAGTCCACCGACATTGTAAGTCTAATAACAAGATCTGGGATTTAGTAACTCCTAAGATTATTTTAAAGATGTCTTGTCTTTCTACAGATAGCCAACAGGTAAATGAAAAGACGTCCATCATCAGGAACTGCAAATCAAAACCATGATGAGATACCATCTCACGCCTGTTAGAATGGCTAAAATCAACAACATAAAACAACAGGTGTTGGTGAGGATGTGGAGAAAGGGGAACCCTTGTGCACTGTTGGTGGGAATGCAGACTGGTGCAGCTGCTCTGGAAAACAATATGGAGGTTCCTCAAAAAGTTAAAAATAGAACTACCCTAAGATTCAGCAATTGCATTACTGGGTATTTATTCAAAGAATACAAAGTACTAATTCAAAGGGGGGTACATACATCCCTATGTTTATAGCACCATTATTTAAAATAGCCAAATTATGGAAGGAACCCAACTGTCCACTGACTGGTGAATGAATGAAGAAGAGGTGGTGTTTATATACAATGGAATATTATTCAGTCATAAAAAAGAATGAAATCTCGGCATTTTTTTAATCATAAGAGGGCCAGAGAAAGAGAGAGAAAATCTCAAGCAGGATCTATACCTAGTGCAGAGCCCCATGCGGGGCTTGATTTCACAATCCTGAGATCATGATATGAGACAAAATCAAGAGTTGGTTGCTTAACCAACTGAGCCACCCAGGCACCCCAAAATCTTGCCATTTGCAATGCTGTGGATGGAGCTAGAAAAGATAACGTCAATTGAAATAAGTCAGAGAAAGATAAATACTATATGATTTCACTCATATGTGAAATTTTAGAAACCAAACAAACAAGCAAAGAGGAAAATAAGAGACAGAAAGAGAGAGAGAGAGAAACTAAGAAGCTGACTCTTAACTACAGAGAACACACTGATGGTTACCAGAGGGGACAAGGGTGGGAGGTAGGGTTAAATAGGGGATGGGGATTAAGGAGTGCACTTGTGATGGTCATCGGATGTTGTATGGAAGTGTTGAATCACTATATTGTACACCTGAAGTTAATGTAACACTGTATGTTAACTAACTGGAATTTATTATTTTTTAAAAAGATTTTATTTATTTATTCATGAGAGACACAGAGAGAGACAGACACAGGCAGAGGGAGAAGCAGGCTCCATGCAGGGAGCCCGACATGGGACTCGGTCCCAGGTCTCCAGGATCATGCCCTGAGCTGAAGGCAGCACTAAACCGCTGAGCCAACGGGGCTGCCCCCAACTGGAATTTAAATAAAAATTAACTGACTAAATAAAGATCTCTTGTCTTTCTTTAGAGGATGACACTTAAAACTGGATCCATAAATGAGATGCTAGTGAGGAAAATCCATGTTTGAGACACTATGGCTATGAGCAGTGGGTGTTTCTATGTTCTGTGGCCAACAGGCACAGCAGTGCTCTTAGCAGGTGCAATAGCAGAGCAAACGCACCCCAATTTCATGAATATTCTAGTAATAACTTCTAGTAATATGGCAACACTAACTTTAAGCTAATGTGTGGTTAATGGTCTATAGGTTGATGTCTTTAGATTTCAAGATTAAGTTTAGATTGTGATGATTATAAATTACCGAGTCGGCCTTTTCAGGAAATTACAATCTGGATCCGATTTTAATCCTAACACAAAGAAAGCAACACATTGGACAGCCTGGGTGGCTCAGCGGTTTAAATGCCTGCCTTCCACCCGGGGCGTGATCCTGGAGTCCCAGGATCGAGTCCCATGTCAGACTCCCTGCATGGAGCCTGCTCCTCCTTCTGCCTGTGTGTCTCTGCCTGTGTGTGTGTGTGTGTATCATGAATAAATAAATAAAATCTTTAAAAAAAAGCAACACATTAATTGTGTCAAATTCCAACAGTTGCTTAAGGATATGGTGGGAAAAATGGAGAGAAAATAAATACTCTTAAGGAGAAAAGGAAAGGAGGTAAAACAATATTTCAACAATTCTGAAGTCACCTCACATGTAGACTAGGCTTGAACAAATAAGCAATGTGATGTGCACAGTA